TCGAGATTTAAGGCGGAAGGAGATCCAATCAGCTAAGTCAAGCTAAATCTCTGTTGGGTGTTGCCTGAGGGATTTTTGTGTGTTAGCGTGGGTGAACAAATGTTGGGTCGGTGGGAAAACCTACATGCGTTTGGGTCCAGTCTAGGGTCTAGTTCTTCTGGCTCGGTTCATTTGATGGTCCCTCTTGAACGTCCTTTGAACTTTCTATCCGTCAGTGTGGATGACCTAGTGCTAAGATAGTTGTGAAAGAGGGATGCTGTGACCTTTGGTCGGTTGGGTTTTCCACCCCCCCCCCGGTTTTTTCTAATGATCCTAAGTGGATTGACAACCACACCGTCACGTGTCAACTCGGCTTATTGAACAAATCTTCATGCTCTCCTTATTTACTAGTTAGCTCTGATGGGTCAGTGTGCAATTACGTTAGTCTTAACCTAAAACACTATCAAATCACGATGTAGATTGAATACCCACAGCGCTTTCATCTATCTTGGGAGGTCCATTTTTCATCCAAAACTATCACCACGTATGATATCATATCATTTCGAACTCGGAATTTTGTGAAAACTACTTGAAATGTCACAACATATGAAAAAGACAGTTAAGTCATTAGGCCACTTTAAACTAGATAGAAGGCCGTATCCTGATAAGCATTGCAATGTAGAATGGATATGAAAGGTAGCAAACACTCCCATCAAGGAGTCCTTGTTTAGAGATGCGGGGGTAAAAGGCTCCCACTAACCGACTCAACAGTCATTCATCCTCTCTCCTGCTCCTTTGGACCGTATTATCTGGTTCGAACATGGAAAGCGACCAATAAGACCTTTCCTGGAACACTGCCAGACATCATCAACCACAAGCTCCTGGCACATAAACTGAAGTTCTATTCTATCTCACGTGATACACACTAGTGCACAGGTTTACCGCAAAGTGGTTTTTAAAGTTATGTATCGGATACAGCCATACATATCCAAACGAAACGAATAACGGATTTTAGAGACAAGCGAGGTCGAAGTCATACCCTGCTTAAACGCGCATAATGCATTCAGTAGAATCACGTGATGGCTTTTTTAACAGGCCGGACAAAATTAGCTCCTACATGCCACTTTAATAGCACCGTAGTCAGCAGACCAGCAGGATTAATGAATAAGGCAGATAAATCATGACAGGATAACAATTCTTGTCTTTTCTGATCCCTTGTAAGTAGGTCCAGTATCATGAGGAGTTTCGGATCAAATATGGATTGGATCTTATTACACAGTTCAGCACCAAGTGTGCGTTTGTATTCCAACACCTTGATACCACCACCTGTCTACTTCTCTCTTCATAGCAAGAGCAAGTTGATGAATTGTCAAAAGAGTCACAGAAGCTGTCTCGCATATTTGATGGCATTTTTTTGAAGAAGACCTAAAAGTGGTCCAAAATTTCACCATTGGCATTACTGACTTTCTATCGCACCCCAAAATGTACCGAAATAATCAGAATTATTGTGACGCCTTCGTGCTTATCTCGATTATCTCGATCTGTCATTTTGGTCAGCTAGCAAAAGCTGGCCTACCGAAAATCGGTTGAAACTGAGTCAGTAGTCAATGTCGTAAACTACGCTTGCCGCAGATCTGTTCTAGACCAATCAAGAATTACCCGGCGTTGTACTGTAGTGAAAAAATTAAACTGCTGAGCGGAGAGGATGATACTTTGAATGCTCCTGTTGTTGTCTGAAGGAGAGAAATGTCAGACAGAATTGGATGGTTACGGTAGGCCAAGCCTGAATGATGGTAGTCCAGAGGACGTTTTATCGGATGGAGGACGTAAGTGAACAGATTTACAGTCCTTTGCAGCAATTTTTGAAGGTCCTTTGATGCAGGTCATTGTGCTGATTAGGGAAATTTCAGCTTTTCAACTACCTCCATTTTAGTCTTCTTAGCTTGCATAGTTTAAACCGTCCGGTAAGCCAAGCGGACGTATGATGTCGTGCAGGTTGTGTATCGCTAATCAGAAGATCCTTTCTGTAAGTCACAATTGGTTGCGTCATTAGTTACCAGGCTGTGTAAACTGAATAACGAAAGGAGAAGGTCGAAACTAAAGAACTGGATAAACCGCATGATTTGCAACAGTTATGTGGGTAGTGGGCTTAACAACAATGTTAACTGAAGTCACAATTGATGTAATGCGTGACTTGACTGTCAGGGTGATAGGATTAGAAAACTAAAAGTATGAAATCAAAGATTATTCATAGGAATTGTACATTCAGTATTGATGGTCTGAAGGTGAAGGGAAAAGATTAGGCCTGTCCGGACAATATATTGGTACTCACTTCTGTCGTCTTGATTTGATGAGGGGTGGGTGCATGGCGAACTTTTTCACACATACACGCACACAGCTAAGGCTGAATTGCAACATTCAGGCATTGTGGAAATATAAGGACTGTCATTCAGTTGGTGCGCAAAGAGCAGTAGCTAAGTACCAGTGTGCAGTATTCCAATACACAATACGTGGATGTTTTCCATGTCATTCGACACGTAGTTCCAGCAATCTGAAGGTCTGCGCACCATGCAGAGCAACGACTGATATAAGCCTTCTTAGTGCACTTTTTCCTCCCTTCTTACTCCTCACAAGTAAGCCATTAACCACAATGAAGTTTGCACGTACATTTCATCCCAATCCTTTCCTTATGTAGGAATTTACGACGATGCATCTTGTGGAAGCAACATAAGGCAACTGGGGCATGCAATGTTGGTTGTTGGATATGGCGAAGAGGACGGCGTGCCATTCTGGATTATCAAAAACACCTATGGTACAAAGTGGGGTGACAACGGATACATACGAGTTCGCAGAGGTGTCAATAGATGCGGAGTTGCTACCAGTGCTCTGTATCCGAGAATCTAGTCCATATATTCCGACCAATTAAATCAACTTGAGCACGTGTTACAAGGATCTCTGCTCTTATCCAAAAGTTGTGATTATTGGTTTACATGGGTTCAAAGATTAAAATTGTTTGGTTGTTTAGTGTTGTTTCTTTACGAGACTAGCGTGAGATTTCCATGTATTGCTTTCGGGACTATCGGGTTGTTTACCAGCTTCAATTTCGGTCTAGAAATTTTTCAGGTGAGATTGACGATTTGGATTAAATAAAAGACGGATCAAACTCAATAGCTTCCCTTGCCTGATCATACATCGACAGTTAGTCTGTATCTTTCACCACTCAACAAAGCAGGATATGGCGAAATACACCCGTTTGCAAACAAATTTGGTTTTGCAAAAGACTCACCTGGAACCAAGCTGAACCTCTCGTTTGTAATGTTTCCAGGCCGCCTCATGTTCCATTTGTATGATAATCGAGATTTCGTGATACATGTATATTCGTAACGCACTAATCATAAGTTCGATGAAAATTCTTCGGCAGCCTACGACCGGTTTTGCAGCATATAGTTAAAAACTCAGCCCATAAGAAAGCATATTAAGCGGAAGCACTCATGTCAGGAGCACCGACTTCTCCCCGCAACCAATCATGGAACTACCTTATCATTTGACAGTGACCAGTGATAACCACCACAACAATGACACACGTTTGCCTAATTTTTATCCTCCTAATTAGCTGGTGTCACCAGGGCTACTTCTTACGTATTTCGTTAAAAAACTTTCTTATTTGGTTGATTCCATCCATCTTGACTGTTGATTCAAACTGAGGCTTTAGACTGAAGCGCAACAGCACCAGTGCCCCTATTATTCTTTTTTGGGGGAATGCCTTGACCTGAACTGATCCACTTGTTCCGGCTATCTCAAATCATGGAAGCAAAGCACTGCATTCGATTTCTACTAGCATTTAATCTATGTTGACCACGCCTAGGTCTAAATTTCAGACACCTGAGAGTGATCGCATGCCACAGGCTTGTCTATACGATTGATATTGCTTTTTGGTGATTGTCGTCATGCGTTGTATAGGATTTTCGAGGAAATTTTCATCTTTTCCGACGACGTGGAGATAAATGGTGATCTTCACAATACATAAGAAACCGGTCAAGTTTTGGACACAGCCGTTTCCCCCCTCATTCCTTTTGGTTTCTGTGTCTTGAATCTAAATAAGACGATTTGGCATTGTCAGGCAATATGGGATAAACTAAACACGACCCTCATGTTACTTTGCAGAAACGCTTAAAAGCTTAACCTTTTTTTCGTTGCCCGAAAATCAGCGAATCCATCCGTTAAACATTCGCGTTTACTCATGCCTAAGTGGCTTGGGACGTACATGTGCACACCCCTAAAGAACGGACACGCCACACTCCAGAACAATGAACTTCAACGATTAGGTGCCTTCCGGTGGAGGGATTTCACTTTAGTGGTTCAATTTATAACCGACGGCTTCTATTTAGTCCAATCGCGCGATCGTTCTGGTTGTCAATCAGCAACGGATGCTTAGCATTCAACTAACTGCCTTAGCAGCTCAGCTGTCGACAGTCTTTCAGCATCCGTTACTTTTCCATCTACATCCACGAACATGGTCTAATTACGCTGATTTCATTCCTATATCCATCACTCACTTTTACTTCGGCACCCTCTGTTTTATTTCCTACCTTGAGAGTTGGTTTCCTTTCCAATTTCTAAAAATGCGGCCTTGTATTGCACAAACGCTTGAAAATTTCTCCAGCCCGATCTCCCTGAACTCAACCACGTAAATTCAAATGTCCCGCCCAATCCTGCCTTCTATTCATTGACATTTTCTTATTATTTCGTTACCCCATCTCTATCCCATCCATAAAAACATTGCGTTGCACAAACTATGAACATGTTTTTGGTTTCTAAAATGAACCGTATTATCACTTGTTTAAATTAACATTCTGGGCACTTTTCGAACTGGTTTCTCACGCTTCATGATTGTCTCCGTGTTTGTCATGGGCCTAACTGTCGGTCGATAACTATCAAGGTTTGTTGCACATTAACTGATTAATTGATATTTTGTTATACAGTACAGCACATTTTGTCGGGATCACTTTCGTTTTGAATTCGAATCCATTCTTCGGTGCTCGTTGCCCGACTTATCGATTTTGTCGCTTAGAGTACTTGACAAGACAACACTTTTCGTGAATTTCGTCGAAAATGCCAAGAACAAGGAGCGGTGTATTAAATGAGAAGAACCAGAGAGAAGGGGCTATACAGACAGACGGCAGGCAAGTGATTCGTGATACGCATTCTTGTATGGGCTCTTCGGCTGGGTCTAGAGATAGCAGGCGTAGCAGGAGATCCGATTCAGCCTTATTATTAGCTGAGTTAAAGCGAAGTCAGCTACAGAAAGTGTTGGAAATACGGGCTGTTAGGGACGAGCAGGACCATCAGATCCAGCTGATGAAAGCTGATAACGACGTAGAAGCTGCTCGTTTAATGCACACCCTCTCTTGCTCCGAGCATGAATCGCGTGCTGATGATGAGTCAATTTCTGCGCCTTCAAGGGTAGAGATTTACGCTGAGGAATGCCGCAGGCAACATGAACTTGGACTGTCATACCGCGAGCCTAAGT